GTGGACGTTTGAAAAAAGGCCTGTCCTGAACACACTGCTACTGCCACATAACTAAATGACTCTATATAATAGGCTACAGAGCCTACACAAGACATGGTAAGAACCAGTTTTCAACTTGCAATGACCAACACTCTGAATGTGACCTTGCCTTTTTGAGAGATCTGCGAGTAAGCAGTAAATGGAGTGTTACTGCTCTTACATGGCACCTTCACTTGAGTATGTTACACACAACTTGAAGAGCTGTCATTGAGGCTGTTATGCCTGATATGCTCATATCCTTCTCCCTTTTAGCTAAGAGGCTGGAATCTTATTTTACTCAGTTAATGCTTTCTTCAGGGTGGCATGTCTGTCTGAAAGCAAACAGGTGAATCCTTTGTAGTTATGAGGAGGCAGATAAAAGATCACAAGAAGAGACGGCATTGACAAGCTCAGGACTGAGAAGGACAGATACCAATTATATATGGGTTTTTAAATCATAGGTTGTACTGTGCTAGATTGTGAGTCTAGTTCTTTTATTTTAAAATATGCAAGGAGTGGAAAGTAAATAGAGGGGGCAGACATTGATTGCCAGATAGCACATTCCTGGATTTTGAGATTACCAGAATGTGCCTGTAGTGACTAATGGGAAACTGCAAGCAGAAAGAAGGCAGGAGAATGACAATCTACAAACAATAGGATTAAAGTGCTCTGTGCATTTAGGACTATAAAATATTTGAATAATCCTTCCCAAGTTGTAATGGAGAAAGAAGTAATTAGATTTCTTACTGAACCGGAGTGTCTGGAAAAACTATCACTTTCAAAAATGCTATTAAGCTTAATGAACACACAGGTTTCGGGGAGGGGGGGTGGGCAGGTGACGTATTTCTAATTATCTGAAAATACAATTCTCCTAAAAAAAAATAAAATAGAACGTTGATTTTATTTTGTGTTGACTGCAAGTATAAGGCTAAATTTTCTATACTCACTGCTGAAATCAGTCATTTACACTAGATGAATGCTTGCAGACACTACTGTATACTAACACTGCTCAAAATACTCTCAGTTTGCACAAATGACCATAAGATATATCAAGCACAAAACCAAGAAAAAAATGTTCTGTAACTACAACTTTATCATCTTAAAGTGTACTCAAAAACGTTCCATTTCCAATTTTCCTATCTCTGAAACAAAACAGCAATCAAGCCTATTGTTACATGCCAATAATTTCAGTCAGGAAAAGAGCAAAAGGAGAAAACAATGATTAAGATGATTTTGTTGAGGAAAGAGATGACAGACAATGGAACGGATCACACCAGTAAGTCAGATAAGACACAGCAGGAAATGTGAATGGGAAGATAACAGTCAAAACTGAAAAGGAAAACATTAAAAATTAAAAGATTTATTTCATTATGGAAAAATTAGTGTAACCTTTTATCTCAGCTGAGCAGAGATTTCATCAAACAGAAATATGAGACTATTTTTTAAATCATTTTCCTGGATTTTGCAGTGATTATATAGCATATGCTCCTAAATGCTTCAGAGTATGGTCCAGTTACAAATGAAATAGGAAGAAGAAAATCTCTTATAAATATTTTGCAGTCTGATACTTCTTTTGTTTCTCAAGGATAGAGCTAAACATTTTTCTCTAAGCAGAATGGAGGGAAGCGGCTGCTGGTGCAGCAGCACTCTGGATCAACACAGGACCATCCTCTGAACTCAAGTGACTATGTTCCTATTGTAGGATCTGCTTCAAGGCTCTGTAAAGCAGCTCAAGCTTAACAACAACATTAACATTAACACAGGATCCTACCTGATTATCATTTTAGACCACTTGTCATAAATACTGCTCAGCTAAAACTTATCACCCACCACAGTGTGGTCGGCGAAATAGAAATCTGAAGAAACCATGTTTCTAGAAACTCCTTCTCACAATGTCCATGCTATCTATTTAAAAGATACCAAACCAGCATCTTGTTTTTCCTTAAGGATGATTTTGATGGTCCCTCTGAAATAAGACAAAGCTTACTTTACTGTCAGGCAAACACTGAAAAATGACTAACTTACAACCAAGTTCCATAAATCATGTAAACCAAGTGCAAATAACAAAAACTACATCCACAGCCATACTTGTCTCATTTTAAACCAAGTAGCTCTAAAGATTTTTATCCAAACAAATCGGACCCACAGAATTTGACTATACCAGTTTACACAGCAAAATAAATTACCATTGCTCAACCACACTGAAAGTCTAATTGTAATAAAAAGTAGCTAATTAACCCATTTATCACAAATCCCAAACAGGCCAATGGTTTTTGTAATTATCAAGACAATTCCGTTTTTGCTTTAGTGTGCAGCCTTGTTTGCCCAACTCAATTGGAGATCATCAGAATTACTTACAATACACTGTCTAGCAAAGCATGACAAAATTAGGCTGCTAGGACAAATTAATTGAACTTAGTAAAGCTTTTGCATTATTTCTGGTTATTGCCAGTCCTTTGGGGTTAGTGATGTAGTCCTTTTGGCTAGGAGGAATAATTAATATTTTTAAAAAAGAAAATTAGATTTTCAGTGTGTTAAGATAAACTAACAACCTTCCCTAATGGCTAAATAGTAGATTATTCTTCAAAACCAATACTTCAACCATAAATTTATTTCTCTAGTAAAACCTTCTGCCAAATTACTGTGATGTATATATATACAAACAGCTTATAGGCAATATCAAATATTGTTAAGGATGATTGCTGAATTACTCCTCAACAAATATGTGCTAATTAAAATTAATATTCATCAATAAATGCCTATTGCCTTTTTTAATAGAGCAATCTGACCATCATCCTGTGAATATTGCTCTATAGCTTCATGGCACACTATTGCAGTTGATCAACCATTGTCAAAAATAGCTGATAAGTAATTATTTTAATAACAATGTCAATGCAATTAACATTCAGATAGTCAAATGAAGTCGTGCCATATTCATCTCAATGAATTAATGCTTAGAAATTTTAATGAAATTGCTTATCTCCTTTCTACTTCTTACTATAAAGAAAATAATGTTTACTGCTTTGGAAGCCTTTTAATTGCTCACGGATGTCAGAAAACCACTCTATGTCAACACCTTAAAGTATGCATTTCCACCTGAAGAACTCATAGTCTAATTTTAGAGTTGTAAACAGTAAGAGGCAAGCATGATTCCATTCAGGAGGCAACATGTATTGATTCAGAACTCTTATGAGCATCTTCATATCTCATCTAAAATACTTTTTCAAGAAGGGATATCTTCAACAGCTTCTTGCATCAGTGTCCAACAGGAATTGCTGATGGAGTGACTCAGCCATGTCCTGTGAGGAGTCTGGCAGTCACCAAAAGAACACAGTCTTGTTCTGGTCAGTCACCCCAGACTATCCAGAATAAAAATACCACAGCTTGACAGCAGGAAGAAAGGTGTTAAGACTGTATTTTCACAACTATGATCATAATGCCAGATGCAGCAACCACTGGAATACAGTAATTTTATTATTTCTAATGAAAATATTTTCTACGATGGCCGTTTCTGAGCAACATTATGTGACCTACCCTCTGAGCATACTCATTCAGCTTGGTATTCCCTGAAAGATGGTGTTATTGATACAACTGTACCAGAAAGTCCCTTTGAAGTGAAGAGCAGAACTAGGGCCTGATTATCTGTTCATACATAAGCTTGGGGAGCTTGAGTTATCATGACTTTATTTTGGTTCTAAATATTGAACCCAAGTGGTTGATAAACAACATGGTAAATGCTCTTTTTCTGTCATTCACATCAATCCCATTCCCTTTCAAGAATTCTTATTGGCTCAGTTTAGTGAAATAATACAAATGATGACTGAAACAAAGTACAGTGATGCAAATAATTACTAGTCTAGACAAAAGAAAGCATTTGATCTAACTTGACTAAATACTATGCAACTTCCAACCCTATGTTACAAGCACCTCTGCATTAACCTCTTTGGCCAGGTTATCCATCCAGTGCCAACACATGTTGCACAGGTGTGGAGATGTGTCAGGAATAAACATGACCAGCCAATGGACATGAGTGAGAAAAGACATGTTACCTTTCTCTTACATTCATACACACCCTTTCATCTGCATATAAGGATAAATGCCAGCCTAGAAATAGCATTGTGAATTATTTGAAAGCTATCCCAATAGCTACCACTTCTTTTTTTAGATGCTCTGAGGTAAAATAGTTATATCAACATTTTTATGAAGTTAAACCCACAGATTTTAAGTCCTTTATGTTATGCACTATAAAGATAGGAAAAAGGAAATTGCTCTCCCCAAATACAGAATGAGGACAAACACTATTTCAAGTAGACATAAACAGATGCCCTTTTCACCAAAAACTATTGTAGATCTCACACAATAATCTCAGGAGGACAGAGAGATACGACATTCATGAATACTTTTAAAACTATAGATTTTAAAAAGTTGGATCTTTCCTTAGAAAAAGTCTCTCTGCTGCTGTTCATTGTGAAGAACTTTTGAAGGGTTATTTTTGTAGTGAGTAATTCCTGTATGCATCAAATAAATAAGAAATAGTGTATTTAAAATATTCTCAGATAAAAGTTACTAACATACAGTTCATTTCTTTGTTAGCAAACCTTGAAAGCCTATCACCTTGCTTAAGAGAACAGAGTCCCCAAAACCAAGAACTTTTCTGTTAATATTCAACTAATGCTGCAATGTTTTTTGTGTAGCATGAAATCACTGGCAAGCACACTGCAGAATGCATTCAGCCTGCTTACGAGAACTGACAGGTATGTATGTGATTCATATAGGAAATTAACATTTCGTTGGTGGGGGTAGAGGGTGTGACTGTAACACCTCAAACTGTAAAAATACTCCAGAGGAATGATTTACATCTCTTCACAGAACCAGCCTTGGATACAGAGAAATCAGAGTAACACATCCCTCTATTACCTTTTATTATTGTGATGACGATCACATTCTACATTATCTGAATTAGTAACTTATTCTTACCTCAACTTATTCAACGGCAGGGCCAGGGATGGCGAGCGAGCGCTGCATGGTACTCAGTTGCTGGCTGGGGTTAAACCACAACAGTTACACAAACCCAGTACTGGTTATTTTTCAGATTCACACCGAGATGTAGCAGCCTTTCTGGCTCCAATCCACAATTTCCTGGCACCTCCTGGAAGTCAAATGAGTGAAAGAACTTTGATGGAATAAGAAAAAGCAGAACTTAGTTAATTCCTCCCAGAGAAAACCTGAACACTTATGGTTTCTATCTCCAACTCAGTTTGCAACTTAAAATGTAACTTCATTACAACTTTATAGCAGAAATATCCTGTTGAGATCACCTAACTACTGCTTTATTTGTAGTCTATTAAAAGTTATAGTTTATTGCTTGAAATATTGATTCTTATTTACAAGATTTTTCTCCTTCAGTAAATCCCATCTAGGATAAGTGTGTTATCAGCTTCAGTAAAAACATTCTACAGTTTACCACCAGCTACTCAGAAACACTGTATTGTGTACTATACCTTACCACTGAAATAACCCCAAATGATGCATCACAGCATGATTCATCAAGGATAGAGAAATAAACAGACCAACTTTAAGGGAATCAGTTTTTAGAAAACTTGGTTCAAAGAATGAAAGAGAAGTTAAATGTGCCAAGAAAGGCTGCTTTTAAAACCAAATACTTATTCATTTAAACGAGGGAAGAACAATTTCTAGGGAAAAAATTGTTTCTCAATTATCTTACCCATACAATTTAACTAAAAATGAAGACTTCATATCGTTATTTTTCAAACACTTGACAAATGATTCCACATTTGTCATGGTAGAAAGTATCATAGCAATTATATGAAATAGTTTTCCTTTCCAGTGAAGAACCATTTCACAAGTAAGACACTGAACTACGTTGCTACTGGTTTAGTATTATAGCTTCTCAAATTCTTCCTCAATCAGTCCTAACAGCTTAGCTTGATTAAACTTTGTGCTATCTGTAGAAAGCTGGCATTGCTATTATGTCAATGTATTTTGCCAGAGCCCTGGTCAGACAGAATGTCTTGAAAGAATCCCCAGTAGCTGACCGCTGTCCTGCTGTCTCAGCAGTTTCCTTCCATTAACCCTCCTTCACACACCTGTCTCAAAATGTAAACATCATGACAAAGCACAAAATCTGCTTGCTTCCCCATCCTCTCCCCATAAGGAGGAGTGAAGTGAAGGAGGATTCTATTTGCTGTAATTCCAGACATCTGAAAATTAAGCTTGCCCTTGAAAAATGTGCAGGTTACTAAACTCAGGTAATGCTCAAGGTATATTGACATCTACAATATTTTTCACCGCTATTTCACCGTTCTCTCAGTGAAAAGATCTAGGCGACTTGCAGCAATCAAGACATGAAACAGTCCCATTTCAGATTTTTATTTACATTGTCAAAAGTGAAAGAAAATTAAAATCCCTTCAGAAGCTTGAAATCACAATTTATACAGACTAAGGCTAGTTCCTCTTTTCCAAAGTTTCCCATGCATATACTACTCTACATCAGAAACTGCAAGCAAAAAGGTAGCAATTATCTCTTCAACACTGTAACAGGTACTTGAAAGAAGGGTGATTCATGACCTAAGTGACACCCTGTACAGAAGAGCTCACATGTCACCGCTTGTATAGTTGAGGTTTTGAGGAATGGGAGGAGAACAGGTCACACAGAAGGGAAAAAATAATTTGCCCCTTCCTGCCTCCCCCCTTTTTATTTTTAATGGAAATCAAGTTCTTTCGTAGCAGCTGGGCTGATAGAGTTTCTGCTAGTGTTGGATGTGGCTGCTGTGTTGATAAGGCACACATAACTCTCAACCCATTGTCATGTTGCTGGCAGCACAGCTTCCAAAAGGCAATGCTAACAAAGGAGCTCCTGCCACATTAACGCTGTAATGAATATATCCCATGTTTCTCTCTACTGCAGCAGGGTAAGATTAAATGCCTACAATAAAAATTTTAAATGTGGACTTCCACAGTTGTGATGGAGATGATGCTACTTACATTTTGACCAGCAGACCATGACCAGACACCTTTACAGCTTCCACTGTAGCCCATTACAGTACCAAAAAATCTAAAGGCATAATATTGGTTCTTAATGTTGGAAATCAATCTGCTTATCCATACCACATTCAATGCTTTTCTTTAAGCACCATCTGTCAGTCCTTGGATTAGGGAGGAAACTGCCTTGCTTGGTACACTTGAAGGGCCTGCATCTACAGAGAATAGCAGAAGAGCCTAAGCAGAAAGACTATGGTACTTAAAACAATTAAAATCAATCTTATTTTTTAAATATGGTAATAGAAATCTAACTCTAGAGCTTTTGAGTATTTGAGATAAATAAACCTGACAATTTCAATGAGCACACCTGAACAAATAAACCATGAGTGCAAATTATTTAGGGTGTCAGTTTGCAAGATACTCATTAAAATTTTTGCAAAGTTTTAAGAAAAGTCTCTGTGCAAGTGAGTTATTGTCTTGTGCATTGCATAATGAGATATAATTTAAATAATTTGTTCCTTCCATTACAATGATGTGTATCAATGAGACACGTTACAGATACAAGCAAAAGTTTAAGTTCTCAGTCAATAATGTGCTCTTATTTTATTGCCTTTCATTAGATATAAACAGCCACCTGAGTTATTATAATGTAAGAAATTGCTGAGGCTTAAACCCAAAGCAACTTCAATTATCCCTTTATTTCAGGCATTTGAAGTGCTTAGTTATTCTTTCAGATTCTATTAAGACATTATTGCTGCTTTATTGCCAGTAAAACAGTATGCTTTTCAAGTCTTTATAATAAGATGCCAAAGGAACATCTGTACGTGGAACAAGCAGTTTGGTGTTTCCCCAAGAGATCTGTCAGTTATGCCGAGTTCAACAAAAATCATGCATCTGTATATAGAAACACTTGTGCCAGAACATGCACTACACTGTGCTGTATTAGTATTTCATATTCATAAATATTCATTTGGGAAATTTCCATGCAAATGCCATTAACAGTGGTCTGTCTTCTGTAAATAAGCTTTTAAAGTACAAATCACATTGAGGGTTATTACAGCTTCTAGAAGCAAAGACATCTCAAGGATTCTTTACTTCTTAAAGGCAAACCCACATTTAAATGCCCACATTTATTGGTTAAAACCTTGCTACTAGGTACATGCTTACAGCTTTGATGGAGTCCCATCACACAACCATTTCCCTAATCCACTTCCTTTCTGCTAGCCCAATAACTGCTTCTCTGAAGTGTTTCAGGACAATGGTAAGAAATATTAAATCTGACCAGTGCATACATCCTCAAATGGTTTATGCAGTACTTTGTGAGTTTCTGTTCTGTAGACTCCCAAGGATTCAGAATGAAATTCATTCTTTACGAAATTAAGACAGACAGATGACAGAGATGTGTTATTAGGAACTGCAGAGATTTCAAGTCTCTTCTGCATATTCAGGGATATGAGGCATGACACACATCACAGTTCCATAAGGTATACACAGAAATGTTTAAGACAGAAGTATAGCTCTTTTTACATTGATGCTTATTTTCATGGTATTTTTAAGTTGGCCTTTTAAGAAAGATCATTTTCAACATGGATTATGTGCCTCCCTGTTTATAATAAACATTCATTCCAACTTAACAAACCTTCTCCCTGAAAAGATGAGGGTTTGGTTTTGCTATTATTTCCACAACGTGGTTCATGCCATGCCACAACAGAACAACTGTTTATTATCTCACATTTCTAACCAACACTGCTGCTTTATTGCTTGATGTGTGAAATCAGTACCATGATCAACCACGCATGGTTCTGTACTCCCAGTACCTTTTTACCTTTCCTCTCCTTTCCCTTCATTTTTTCCTGTAGTCCCCCTACCCATTTTTTACCACTGTGCCACAGACCTACAATAACAACGTTTCAATAGGAAAGAAATACTGAGGTTTTATATTCTTGCTTTCTTTAACTGACATTCCAAATCATTTTGCCTTCAGAAAGTTGAGCGTGAAACAAAAATGTAACCAAAAAAACACATTACCTTCTTTTAAGAGGAATCTTTATCCTGTGAGGGTTTTTGTAAACCCCTGCATGCTGTGACCATGTGCTCCCCTCACCCCTTTCTGCTTAAGCAGCAGCCAGTGGCAGTTGTAATGCCTGCATCTGGCTTAAGTTGGACTCTGAGGAGACAGGAGACACAATAGCCAAGGACCATAAACCTTGCTAACTGCTGAGTGCCAGGTGAGCATGCACCAACTACCATAAGGTTGGTATGCAAATATGACTGTAAGTCAATCATCTTACTCCATAAATAATGGCCAGCCCAGGGCCTGCTGAGCATTCCTGCATCGCAGCAGGCTGCATGTCAGCTTCTCGCCTTGAGTGGGGATGTCTCTCAAGCTTACTTCTGAGGGTGGAGAGATTCCTTATTACATCAGATACTCAGTAAGTGAATCAGGAACAAGAGGACCGAAATACAAGCTAAGTTATATGACGGATTGACTGCACACTTGTAATACTTTAGACATAAACTGTTGACCAGGTCTGGGACTAAACCTAGATCCAGCTGCACCTTAACACCCCTCTGAGGAGGGGTTTAGAACACAATGAGGTCCTTTCTTAACCTTATGACTGAATGGGAGAGTCTCCCAGGAAGTTTTGTCTGATCTCGTTCTCTATGCAGTAAATCACGCGTACCTTGTCACTGAATCCTGCTAAACCACTGTCACATTTACCACTGAACTTTGATAACTGTCTTGTATCAATCAAATATATTGTTGTTTCTCTCTTGCAAGTGAAGTGCATGACTCCAACCATGACACACATCTGTGAAATAGAGCCTTCCTAAAAGAATTTCCCGTAGGTTACAGGCACTGAAGCTTGTTGATGCCCTAACACTATAAATTTGATGAATGTCACCATTTGCTTTCTATGTACTCAAAGAAGCGCTAACAAACTAACCTTGGGAAAAAAAAAAAGTCAGGAAAAAGTGTAAAGAAATAGTATGTCAACACTGGAAAAGCACTGAAGAATCACAGCATAGTACCACAGTCCTCCCTTTCAAATCAACCTAGACAAGTTTAATGGGAAAATGCTTCCAACACACTTGAATAAAATTCCTATTTATTCTGCCTCAGAGATTTGTAAAAGTTTACTTGTG